AGACAATGATAGCGTACTAGTTATCTTGTTACGGAAACTTACATTGGTAGACAGTGATAGCGTACTAGTTATCTTACGGAAACTTACAGTGGTAGACAGTGGTAGCGTACTAGTTATCCTACGGAAACTTACATTGGTAGACAGTGATAGCGTACTAGTTATCTTGTTACGGAAACTTACAGTGGTAGACAGTGATAGCGTACTAGTTATCTTACGGAAACTTACAGTGGTAGACAGTGATAGCGTACTAGTTATCTTACAGAAACTTACAGTGGTAGACAGTGATAGCGTACTAGTTATCTTGTTACGGAAACTGACATCGGTAGACAGTGATAGCGTACTAGTTATCTTACAGAAACTTACATTGGTAGACAGTGATAGCGTACTAGTTATCTTGTTACGGAAACTTACATTGGTAGACAGTGATAGCGTACTAGTTATCTTGTTACGGAAACTTACATTGGTAGACAGTGAAAGCGTACTAGTTATCTTGTTACGGAAACTGACATCGGTAGACAGTGCTAGCGTACTAGTTATCTTGTATACAAAACAATGTCGGACCACTGTTAATTTATTTCATAAAGTTGGTCATAAATCGCACGAGAATGTTCATTGGTGTATTCTGTACAATCATGGAGCCAGAATTCCATGGTAACATGCCAACAGCATCCCTTGCAGCATAATTGGTCTATTATTTTAATAAAAACAGCAATTTTTTGAACAATTACATGACACTCAAGCATACAAAGTAGGCACATTTTTAAAATGAACAAAATATATCAAACTAGTGTTTGTTTTAAAAAATTCTCTGTGGATGACAAGAGTAAATGTATTTAATGGTTGTCAAATAAACATCAACGAGTTCAAAAGCGAGGGCGGTTCACACCTTTCATTTTATTTTCAGCTTGAATGTCGTCGCGTTAGGCGTTTGTTTCAAGGGACGTACACGACGTATTGCTTGTTCGGCGAGCGTTGAGCGACCACTATGGCACTATAGAGGATGCAGCGTTAAATTGTAACGAATATTGTTGGTAAATTGAAAAGTCGAATGTTAGCCAAAAATCAAAAAACAGTGGCATTCAGACGTGGTATGAATATTTGACGGTCTCATAAATGTTTACCTAGACTTATCCATATGATGGAAATTCTCGGACATGCCTATACCGATTTTTGTTTTCAAGTTTGGTACATATGTCTGACGTGGGATCGGTCGACTTTACCAGTTGCCTATACTTGTAAATTTGTTTCTCGTTTTCTCGACATTTGTCCAAATGGCGTAGTTGATATTTGACCGACTGATAGCTATTCCTGTCTCAACAATTTAGACACCAAAATACAAAATTCCAACACGTCGCCAATGGCTTCTCGTACATGCCTAGACCGATTTCATTTCAACTTGGTAGGAACTTGGTACTTGATAGGTTAGTGATGTACGTTAAGTTGTTTTGTAGTGGATCTGATTCTGAATGTTCTGCTGACAACACGTCAAGTTGTTTCAAATGTTCTTGCTGTTTGTGGTGGATAAGACATAGTAATTAAGATGTTTTCTTTGAATATTGTTGTGTTTCCATGTAACAAATTGGCGCTCATTTTTTTATTGTCCTCGCCCATATCTTTGATACAAAAGTTCGTTAAATTTGGTACAATATGGGTTTTGTGTTTTGTTGTTGTTTCAACGACACCGCGGCCGTCCTTGACATGCTTGTCCGTTTTTGTTCTCAAATGTCAGCATCAGACAGATGCAAACGAGTAATATAGTTGTTGACTATGGCTAATTGTTGTTCATTCTTGAGTATGTATGAGTTCTGGTTCAGGTTACCCGAGAAAGAATCACAAAACAAGACTATATATGGTGTGTAATCTGGACACTAGATTTCGCAGGAAATTGCTCATAATTAGTTTGTTTTTATTACCAAAGTTTCATATATTACAAACATGACTGAATATTTCCACGGTAGTGTAGTGTGTACCACGATCTAAGCAAATGGCATCTTTTAAAGTTGTCATCGTACCATACAATACTATATCATACACTTTAAAATTGTTAAGCCGATGTGGCTTTCTGCTTTGAAGCTAATATTATCACTATTCGGCACTTCACGATAACAACAGTTGGTTTGCCATGTTTGAATATCCACTTCATTACAATCTAGAGATCATTTCTTATATTTTATTTTAATATTCATATATGTTTTTATTTTTTAATAATGTAAAGAACGAACAAATTGTTTGATTACTAATGTGAACGTAAGAACAAAACTATATTCGATGGCTTATCACTTTAACACTTTACGATACCCCCCCCCCCACTTTTTATAAACTTTTTTTGTATGATGGTCAGAAGCCTGGTAATGTAAATGAAACATTTGTATTGAATTCACCACATACACCATCAATTGGCTGTCTGCAATGGGTAGGTGATGAAATACAGTTAATTTGGCTTTATCATTAACATAACCGCTAATATGAATTTGCAGGAATATAAGATTAAAAAAACAAACTATTTTTTGTGGGAGAAAAACACGTGTTTATTTTGTTTGTTTTCTTGTCGGGGAGCTGCGTGTGCATGGCCAGATATTTCTCATGTAGCAAATTACGCAACTTATTACGCATGTACTTTGCGCACGCGTGGTATGCAAACGTGTTTTTGTTTTTTTTTCATCGCGGCCACCTGGAAAGTTCAACACGTGTGATAATTTCCAGCAAACTTAGACCTTGCAGTGAGCTATGATTCCGGTAGTTCTCGCTACCATCGTCATTGCAGGGAGTTTAGGTGCGTTTGTGGGCAACAACAACAGCTCGAACGACACACTGGTGAGTAATTACACTAGCAGCACAGTTAGGCTGTGAGAAACCGACTGTTGTCATGTTCATTGGGTGGTCAAGATTGTACAACAAGTTGTTATCGACTCAGACTCATCTGTTGTGCTGTATAATGTCATTTTTGATACTGAGAACTGTACATGTGTAAGAGCCAACCGGGAATTAGTGGCAGTGTCATCAGCTGTGTGATAAACAGGTACGGCCCAAACAACACGTACTTGTACACAAAGCTGGCTGTATTTATATTACGTAACGCGATGTATGCTGTTGTAAACTGTGCATGGAGAATTTGTGATGATAATGACCAATTTTCCCATAATCTAATGCATTTTTCCAAGGAAAATCACGAGTACGAGTTTTAACCAGGGCGCAACGTGCACCAATTAGCGCCGGCGACTCTTTCGATACCTTCTAATCTTCAAAGTAACTCGTAAACTTTCAGTTTGCATCGTAGGTCTGCGCAAAAGTCACTATCTATGTTTATATGAAACCCATATCTCACACATGCGTGATGCAACGACCACTGCCCTTTAACATGTCAACTAAGGAAAGTACGTGGCCGGGGATAGCTTGTATGTATTGTTTTATTTCTGTAGAAACTATCAAACAATACTGATGAGACACTTAAATAATCTGACAAACTGTGTTACAATTATTTGAACTAAACCTATTTCTATTTGAATTAATCAGAATTTTTGTGTCAAAGATGCTGTACTTTAATTTTAAATGACTGAGAAATTTACTGAAATCCGTGTATCAATATGTTGTCATTAATTGTGTACTGACAACTGTATGAAAACGACAGTCAGCATTAATACTATACAAAGCGGCACCGTTCATTGTTTTGCAACACAGTCGAAACAACAATGCCTGGATATTATCACCATTTTCCATTTGTGTGTGCGTGTGTGTTAATTATATTAAAAATATTAAATACATCTGCTTGTTTTTTTTTTTACTTTAGATGGGGATGAGAAGAAGCATTGCAGGTAACTGATCAGATAGTAATATAATTATGAAATGTGGTATTTTCCCTGTGTTGCCCGGAAAATTGTGGGCCAACACTTTTTTGAAACTTCTATACTGTTTCCTTAACCACTGATATTACATCGTTGCAAATAATAACCTATTTGTTTACTAATACGTTCATCTTTATTATGTCAAGGGGAAAAGACTCTCAGCGCAGATGACTTAATTATTTTGGTTGTAACTTACAAACTGCCATGGTACGACGCGCAGTCCTATTGTGAGATGCAAGGCGGAAGGTTAGGCCAACCGTCAACCCTACGTCTAAATAAGTACTACGAGAAAGCTTTGAAACGCGCCAGAATCGAAGGTGTCTACTGGATAGGGCTGAACGACATCAAGAAAGAAGGCTTACTGCGGTGGACGGACGGCACGAAGGCGAGATTCAAAGACGATTGGCACACTGGGAAGATTTCCAACAATAATGATAAAAACGACTGTGTATTCACGATGTGCGTTGAGCTTCCTGAATATTTACCTCATAAAACCAAAGATACCAGCAAATTCTGTAAAAAAAATCATTAACATATTGAATTTCTCGCCTTATCGGCCTGGTACACATGCACGATATTTGATGAGATTAGCTAGTTCCTTATTTCACTGTCGTGTAATCTGTCTATTCGATATCTGATAGCATACTGGTTACAACATTCTGGTTTGCATAATAAGAAATTGATTCTTTTATATAAATTGTTTTACTTTATTGTATTTTGCTGTAATTGTGTATATCTTTCAGATCAGTTCGAGGGGGTGTAGACTTCCAGTGGAAATTCACCCAGTGCTACAGGCGAAGAAAGTTCTTGTGTGAAATTACAGGTATTTAAATAACACTATCCAAACTTTGACTGAAACTAATAGACTCATGTCAACATTGGCCGATGCCGGCAGCATTAATACGCCACAATCACGCCAAAGTTCTTTGCATGTGAAATTGAGGATTTGGAGTTAGGGCCCTGAAGGTGGAATAATGGCTCGACCCTGAAACTCGTCCTAGTTCGTGCCATTTAGATCCTGCCATTGACTGCCAGACTATAATAGAGTGCAATTATACATCTTCCTGCAAGTCGTAAATTTCGGATATGGTTTATGATCCAATGTATGTTCTCATGTTGCGCTTTGGAGAATCGTGTTTAATCGTGTGATGAGATCTCCAATAATTAATCTCATTTCCTTTTTTTATCTCAACTACAGGCCCAGTACAATGTGGCACTCGTCCATTGGTTTCTGAAAGAGTAATTGGAGCTGAACCCATCGATTCGCCTACAATCTGGCCATGGCAAGTGTCTGTAAGACGAGGCGGTAACCATACATGTAGTGGCGCCATCATCGGCGAATATTGGATACTCACTTCTGCCCTGTGCATGCAAGTATACACTAGATATGTATCATGTGGTTTAAATCTTAAATTTAGTTCAAAGAAAAAGTAATTTCCACATCAATAAGCTATACTTCTAGACCGAAACTTGTACACATCGGCTACAGTATTGTTACATCCTATGAATAATTGGACCTCTCAGAAATTGTATATCATTTTTCACCATCTAGCGTTGTTGAAACAGACAGTCAAGTTTCAACAACTAGAATACATATGTAAGAACTTGTATGCTCTTTCCATGTTAGACAGCTATATTAAATTACACTAAGATATATAGACTGCAATACATATCCAATCTGCCTTTGAGTTGTTTTAAAAATCATATAATTATTTATGTCAATGTTATCAATCAGTAACTTTACAAAGTTCCTTATCTTTAGGCGTTCAAATTAAGTTGGTTCCAAGGTAGAACCCGGTGGGATCCCGCATAAAATATGTTGGCGATCCGACAGACTTACATTTACATAAACATATTATTTTCGAAATATTAAATGGGATTGAATTCATTTCAAAAAAGCACATCGAAAACCATAGTATACAGATTTGTTCAACAAGATGGTGTGGTTGATGGTATCAATGGCTTTCCGCGGACCGATAAAAATACCCAAAGTGTTGCCCCTGTGTTCATGACCAGCAATATTGTCGTTAATTCTGCCATGATTAGTTGTGTATTTTGTTTGACACAATATCTGAATTTAATTTTGGGAAGAATGTCAAGTTTGTCTAGATTAGATAAAACAACTGTGTATTAACAATGGAATCGAATATTTAACTGGAGACAGGCACAATTGTAATAGTATCAGAGGGTAAATTCTTCTCTGGGGGGTTCTCCACACTTGCCAGGGGAGGGGGGTCTCGTCTCTATATCTCGTCCCCTTGAGGTGCGGGATCGGGAAGTCAGTTAAGCTTTACAGTCAAATAAGACACACACAACGAAATACGTTTCAGCTCCCGTCTTAGTCGGTCTTTCGAGCACTCTATAAGACACGGCGCCCTGGGGAAAAATCCCCAAGACTATCGCAAGGCTGACCCAAGACTCTTTTAGACTGTGTGAAGGCTCGCCCCAAGTCTCTCCAGGACTGCGTCTGTTCTGCTGTACTCCCCAAGACCAACTAAAACAACTTTATTCATTTTCAAAACTCTAACCAATTACAAAGCAGAAAAAAGACTCTAGGGCGTAACCTTCAATCATAAAGCCAATCACACTAAGTACTGAATACGTCATATTTTTTGATTAGTCGTTCACTACATTAATAACTATGAATACCAACTGTCAAAATGAGTAGTCAGAATAGCGACGGTTATCTCGTAATTAGTTTCAAATCACTGAGCCAAGTTCCGTCCAAAACTTCAAATAGGCCTAAACGATGACTGACATAACACAGCAATTCAGCTAATAATCAACTAATTAAGTCGGTTAACAGATACGCAAAAACAAATTCATGACAATAGCTCGGTAGTTTCTGACTTCTAATACTGAGTATTTTTTATACAGTTACTATAGTTTTTCTGGGAAGATCCTTTTTAATAATGGACAACTTAGAATCCTAATCCTTTCTCAACTTGACAACTCTGAGTTGGAAATAAAAACGATAAGAGTAATTATGAAGGGAAGGCGTATTTTGTGCTATTAAAATTGACTGCATCACGTACAAGTATTCTGATTGGCTGCCCTATTAGATTATCACAATGCATGTTATTGCGATTTTCTTTTCAACAGGAGAGCAAATCAGAGACAGTCCTGTTCTCTTGGAAGTGTGAGAAGTGATTTAACACAATTTGTGTTTCTATGTGATTTGTATTTCTATGAAAACGTGTACGGTGCAAGGAAAAATGATTCGGAAAAAAAGCTTTCAATTTGTAATCTGAATTAATGTTTTAACTAGTGTTTCTTCACACCAATCATGCATTGGCCTCTGACACAGTTGTGACGTGGCAAAGAACGGAATTTCGATAGACTCGTAGTAAGTCTTTGATGTTAATATTATTCCTAACAGCATTTCCAATGCGGACACATATCTACGTGCAGATATGTATGAGGTTCACGTGGGCACAGTCTCGCTATCAGAATCGTCCATACACGAACATGTCTCGCCAGTCGATTATATCGCAACACATTCCCACTATGATTCACCATGGGATATCGCCTTGCTTTACATACATAATCCAATAGAATACACAGAGTTTGTTCGACCCGTGTGTCTTCCGCCGTTGGATGATGCCAATTTCTTTGATCCTATTGGTCGGCAGTGCGTTAGTGTTGGGTGGGCTCAGAAGTCGGCGACCGGTAAGGATTATAGTTATTAAATTCAAGTGCATATATACACATCGCCCGCGTGATATCGGACACGTCTCGTTCGTTATGAATTTATGAATGGATCATACGCAGTTAGTTTGATTACTGGCCATTTAGTCAAAAACCAAAAAAAACAATACAACAAAGATATTTGACAATTTTCTTCAACTGTTGCTAGGTCATGCTTTGGCCAACTTCAATCTCACTTTCAATTTCGAAGCAGTCAAAATATGTATGATCGCAGTTTTATTTTACTGTTCGTGTATTATAAAGTTATATACATTTCGATTTCCGTATGTTTAATTACAATCCATTTTATTACAATTTTTCCAATGTAGATACAATACAGGTGGACGTACTACAGGAAGCGATAACAGAAACGACAGAGTACGGACATTGTAATATTACTATATCAGATTCCGAACTATGTGCCATCGAGTCAAGCATAAGCAACGACACTTGTCAAGTAAATATGACTGCACTGTGAACTTCTTTATACGAACGTGGAACACTATTTTAAAACAGGGTGGCTAATCTAACTGCTTTGTTGTGTTACTGGATGAGTGACTTTATACGAACTTCCCGACTATCTACCCAAAGCTAACATATAAGTGACCAGTCAATTAGTTGATGGATTGCTTGTTTACATGGTTTAAGTATTATTACTAAACTTTATTTTAGACTAAAAAAATAGAAAATTCATAAGAGAAAAATGCGATAACAAATTAAGTTGTTCTGCTAGTCCAAAAAAAATGTAACTCTTCGACTGGTATTGTTAACTCTGCTGCTGTAATTAACGAAAAATGAACCATACGAAGCAGGAGAAATAAAGGCCAAATTCTCAGTATATGAAAGATGCTTAATCTGGTCGTCACAAAAGTGACAACCATACAATACATTGTAAATAAACTCGAAGATATAAATCTCTCGTTTAACCCCGTACCGCGAGTAAAACGTTCACTGTCAGTAATTTGTCAATATTATCACTATTATTATGAATATCATGTGGCCGCTCATAATTATCTAAAACTTCCCTAATGATAAAAATTGAAATAACGTGTCATGTTCTCACTTAAAGCGGGAGGGTCGTCACCTGCGCACGCGCGGGAATTGAGTCCCAAGCGACATTAACAACACGCGCTAAAAACGCAAAGTCTCATGGCCATCTGACGCACGCGCAGACGACGACTCTCCCGCTTTAAACAATTATCGGCCTGTAACAGTGAGATATTCAATACAGCAACCCGGCAATATATATTTTAGTTGTTTAAACGTGACTGTTGTCACAGCAACCATGGCATAATTAGATTTAGATTTAGCCTAAAACGGATGTCGAGACAGTTTGTGGGTGCAATTGCCGGGAGTGGCGCTGTTTTCATGTTTTAAAAGAACTGAATGCTGGAATAGTGGATGTGACGTCAACTCATTATGTCGCCATAAGCTACATAGTTGCCACATCTCCCACATCTACCAACCGCTGAAGTCGCTGATGGTTTATGTTTACATACGTCTCCCCATTAGAAGTTCGGATTTTTTGCAGACTTTCAGCAGAAGAATTTGCACGAAGTTCACTCTCAATTGTCTTACAATACAACGAATGAACTTATTTTTAAACGAGTTCTCGATCCGCGCACCATCTCAAAGAAATAAACACATTTTAGTGACACATCTAAATCAACAATATTGACCGGAAACATGCCAAGAATGCTCTTGAATTTACCAATATCAGATCCAGCTGTGGGTGAATAAACATTTAATTAGTCATTGTTAGGTATTTCATTACCAATAACTCTATTCTTACTATCGTTAATCAGTTAGACCCACGTGCGACCTGCCCTCAGTACACCACGTGAGCTATGACCCTGGCACCCACTGATATCATTTTACTGTGCAACGCATCAGAATTTGAAAATAATATATCATTATTCAGCCTGTGTTGCTGTAGGAATAAAACATCCCAAGAATCTATTAAATTAATAATTTAATTTAATTTTAGAACTCTGACATTATAATTAACAATGTTAATATTCATAATGATATTTCTTAATGGTATTGTGTTTTCTGTATAATATGGCTTCACCAGTGAACTTTCCGGCCACGTTTTGAATTTGTTCTACGTGATTTTCTCGAATATCGACTCTGAACGACGAGTAAATGTCAAAATAAGTTTTCAACTTGCTACCACTTTGACATACATCTGTACCACATGCGTACCTGACATACTTTTGTATCTGCCGACGTATCTGGAAAAAAACGAGTAACAGACACTTTTTTTTCTGGGTGTAATGGCCATTTGCATTTAGACGAATATGTTATGTTATATAATTGAATGTGCCTGATTTACAATTGACAGGGAGACGGTGGTGGACCTTTGGTATGCTACATGGACGATTCTAGATGGTACGTAGCTGGATTATTCAATTCGAGGCCAGACTGCGACAACCCTGCTACATATTTCAACGTAACTGCTGCAAATGAATGGATAAACCAGACGATACATACTGGTGAGTCGTCAAATAGGCGTTCTTTGTGTGTGTGTGTTGGGGGGGGTGTCCAATTTTTAATTGGGGTGTAAAATTATAAACAATATTTTTGATGCAGAAACCTTCGAAAAAGTAGACGTAAAATGTGTATTTAAGAACTAGAAAGCTCACACAAATATGTAGGTTCAATTTTGCACGTAATTGATCAAGGAGACCTATGAATCGGCGGTATTTTACGTGTTGATGACTAGGTCAGGTACCTAATGCTTCCCCGTCTAGGCATTTTTGTGGTCCAAAAAACAGCTGCCAAAGCACAAAAACCTAGAAAGTTAGAATATTTCAACCTGTCTAGAAAAATGTTTATAGAATTTGTAATTGAAATATTCAAATTTTGCTCTGTGAAAATATGTTGAAAAAGTGGCGTATATAGTTATTCGAGCTAACAAAATTTGACTTTATTTCAGTGTGGTTTTATTAAATATATTGTTGATTAATACTGGAAAGATTACATCAAGTTTGATATGGGAATGTTCTAATTGTGTGTTCATTCCAAAAAAAACGAGTGTTCAAAATTCTACTTCAAAAAGCTGCCAATTAATTAATTTCACACTGAGGAAAGAAAATATGTTGGCAGGAAAAACAAAATTTTAACTTATTATAGGCGTGTAAGCTGTTGGATTTTAACCTTTCTGTAATTACATCACAATGCGTTCACTCACTCGTGTCTCGCTTATTTAATGTTCTAATACTTATTATACTTTCCTTTCACAATGTGTTTATCGCATACGATATATTATGTCTTTGGATGTCTATATCCACAGGTCCTGATATCTGTGGCAGGAAATCTGTAGTCGAGAATCGAATCGTCGGAGGACAAGATTCACTCCTTGGTTCATGGCCATGGGAAGTCGTCATCTCAGTGGAAGGATCGCATAACTGTAGTGGTGTCATTATCGATGATCACTGGATCATGACAGCTGCTCGGTGTTTGTAAGTGTATATCCATTTTAAGTGATTTTGTTGGTTTCCGTATGTCACAGCAATTACTGAAATAAATGAATCAAATAGAAACAATCAACTTAAAATCCTAATACACATAACACCTTTGCGCCTGAAAAGAAATCTATTTTATTAAATGTCCTTGACTAATGAGGCACTCAGTGGGCGACAATGCAAATTACAAGACGTAATGCATGGAATATTCACATTCATGTCACCGTTTTTGTTTTGTTTAGATACGATGGCGAAACAATGGCGTCACCAGAGCAATTCCAAGTAATAGCTGGCATGGTTAAAAAGCATGCATATGTAACTATGTACGAGAAATACGTGACTAACATAGATGCTGTTCACATTCACAATGAATTTAGCCTGGATAAAATCAGCTGGAATGTGGGACTACTGTATACAAAGACGCCAATACCGTTTAACTTCTACACGAGCCGAGTATGTTTACCGAATGCCGATAGCGACGATTTCTTCGCAGCTGGCACCGAATGTGTTATTACTGGATGGGGTAAATTGAATGATAATGGTAAGTAACGATTACGTAGTATAATTACTGATCCTTCATTGTATATTGTTTGCACAATGAATTCCGATGGAATGAATCTAGGGTCATGGTTTGGAAAACGCTGCATATCTGCGTCTGTAAATAATGAACTGCATTTTGAGTAACTAAAACAAATCTGAAAGTTACGAAGGTAACATGTTCAAAACCTGAAATATTCTGCTATTAGTTATTGGTGTCTTCACTAAAATAATCCCCCGTTTGTAATTACTGTGCACTAAACACAACTAAGCTGAGAATTAGCGAATGTTTGTCGTAGCCAGTGGAAACATGAGTAAAATATTCGTTTCATAAATTCCACGGTACGCAGTTGTTACCCAGGAAGTTGGGTGTACGTGCAATTTAGTAAAGTGATGACTTAAGATGCAAAAAAACTATCGCATACTAATCTACAAAAATGATTTTCGACAATACTGGTTTTGAGAACAGTGAGACTTGTCGAGTTTAAAGTATATGCAAGAAAGCTGTGAAATCGGCGACAACTTTCGGGAAACCCATGAATTATGCCTTATACGGTAGCATTCCGTATTATTACAAATGCGATCCTATTCAGTCTGATGTTCTACTGCTTACGTTTCTTTTTTTAATCATAGCTCCATATTCCAACACGCTACAGCAAGCGGATGCGATTATTTATGACACTATAAGATGTAAATTTCTGTATTCGCTGCTCGGAATACGCCTGACAATTGCAGAGATCTGCGCCAGCTACAATGTTGTCGTCACTGGACCATGTGAGGTAAGTGTCATTGTTATACTGAAGTGAAGTCATCTAATAATATTATAAATACCATTTCCAAAATACTGAACTTTTTCTTAGCTTAGGTATTTATCGTGAAGAAGTTATAACAATAACGTGGTCTTGTTATAATATTGCATATCACTGATGTTTCTTTTTTATGCTCTCCCTCTGAATAAAGTAGTTGTTTCAATAATCGCTCTTTCATTACGCTCAGGCTGTAATTAAAATGAATTCAAATATATTGTTGTATCGCGATTAATTATCAAAATCGGGCTTAAAATTAAGAGTGCATTTAGAGTTTAACAGAAATTATTTTTTTACTTTCTAATACACCTGTTAATATGTGAACTAACAGGGGAAATTCAGTGGCCGATGAATAATGCTCAACGTTTCCCCATCTTTACACGCAATGTCAAATGTCAATGTTGACGTATTTGTAATAAATTCGTAGTTGCACATGCAAATGTTGCGTTTGAGCCCTAGTAATTTGTAATTAGAGACAGGTTATGATTTTGAAAGTACATATATGCAAATATGGATAACGTCAAACCTAACAATGTTGTCTCTCTCACAGGGAGATGTGGGGTCTTCATTAGTTTGCCAGAAGAATGATGGATTGTGGTATCTGGCTGGCATAGCGTCACTGATTACTGGTAGCTGTGGCAACGCATTGCCGTCTGTCTATACCCGGGTCACAGCGACACGTGCCTGGATCGACCAAACTTTACAAGGTAACAACACACATTCGAGACTTCAAATTTAAAACTCGTCTCTGTCAAATGCAGGAGTAAATGCTTTTCTGTGTTTGCTTTGTTGACGTTGGATAACGTGGATCGGATATGGGTTGTCATTTTGTTTAACACTCTCCTACTAAAACAGTATGGAAAATCGTAGATTGTACGGGAAATTTGATGATTTTTAGTGTTCAATACATCTTTGTCAGTCAAAATGATGTTCTCACACAAAACAATTATTGATTTCATACCATTTGTCTTTATTGTTCGATTTTTTATTTTATTTTTTTTCATTTACTGTTTTATTTACTCGCAAATTAATTTTTATCTGAGCTCTACTGACTTCTCACGGTGGCTGATTGCGAGTGAATGAGGTATCTTATTTTAAGGTGGTCGGGTTTTTGTGCCAAGCTGCCAGAACAGTACTTAGTGAATAGTGACTGAACAGAAATAAACAAATAAAAACAACACCAAAGAAAATAACTTGAATATAATTTTATTTATAGTATAGTGCATCGTCCCAATATAAGGTAGATATACTAATTATGGTAAAATGGGGAAAGGTTAAGCAAAACCAGAGTAACACACAAGTGTGAAGAAATGCAGTAATAAAAATGATAAGAAATTATTAAGTTCACTCACTACAAAACATCAAAACAATAATATTCCAATAGTTTCATATATGTCATGCACGTTCTTAATATTTATGAAATGCTTGGTGAATGTTATTAACAATGCTACGTTTACTCTTTGTTTTCAGGTGGTTAAAATGGCCACTGTTCGGAATTGGATGCGAGAGCATGGATGTTGGACTAGGCCACATATGTCTAATCAAGTTCATTAAATTCATATTTCTGACCATAATTTACTTTAATGGATTCGGATATACAGATGCATTTTTCAGCAATATACAAATATATATATTTAAATATATTTACGCTTGTGTTACAAGCGCCTTTTGACGAAATGCTGGGGGGAATTAGTATGTTTTTGCTCATTATTAAATGTGCTTTCTTATAAAAACTTGCGCACAGACTTTATTTTCTAAAACTTTCATTCTGTCCCAGCCACACACAAACGTTTTGTAATTATTTCGAAATATCAAGAGAAGAGACAAAGGGGAAAAATCAGATTCATCTCAAAACTTCTGTATAATGCACGGTGACATGTTGTACAGATTCCATTGAAATCTCGGGATGCTAGTTCACGCAATGTACGGGTTCCGGAAATCATAAATCTTGACGACTCGAACTTCGATCTGATTATTATGGTCGTGGCTCATCTAAAGCTATGGAAAGATTCAATTGCCGAAAAATAAACGACGCATGCTTCGGAGATGTTATTCTATTCAAAAAGTCAATGCTATCTGCAGATTTTCTATTCGGCCTAGGAAAACCACCAGAAACGACCCCTAAACCATTTCTCGTTATGTTCACATATGAAAATTTCTGCTTACTCCACTTTTTATAATCCGCATGAAACGTGCGCGTTTCGGCCATTCTGTGCACGTTTTGAATGTCTGTTATCAGTTGGCTCACAAGCTATGTCTATTCAATATAATAAGCAGTCAATGTCAATATAGAAGCCAACGTGTTAACATGGAATTCTGGAAAATCGTAGGTATGTTTTTATCGCATGATTTTGGGTTCATTTATTGTGATTTCCTGGACTTAAAACCTAATATTACATGAAATATCGAGTTTTCACGTTTTCCTCGTAAATGGGTTTTGGCTGTTTACTCTCTGGATTCTCTTCCTATTTGGATGAAAAATATACCAACAGAATATTTGCTGTTATACTTAACAAGAGCTCAGCACTAAACACAAAGGAATGTTTATTGGCTGAAAGTAGGGTTTACATAGTTATAATCCAAATCTCCCTGCGAAAGTTGTAAGTAGAAATGTTCTATGCATATCACGACACTAGGGTCACGTGCATATACCCCTTTTTTATTATCCACCCGTGATTAAATGCATTTTCCGTCAAGCACATTTATGCAAGGTATTCGTTTGAGTATCTGCGTTGAGCGAAGTAAGTACATTTTTTTTGTATTTAGGAGTATTTAAAGACTCCACTGTTTGCTTGTGTATTGTAATACCGTTCGTGTATTGTAATACCGACCACGGCCACTGACGGATCTCCTGCGAACAAGTAAAAAGATTCAATAAGTATATCTGATTCAGACCACCATTTATAGTGTTAAAAATGAAATTTGTTGTAATTTCTAGAAATATTTACAATTGCGAATTTTGTGAAATATTGTATTAGTAATAACAAAGAAATCATATGCAAATTAGTTTTTCTTGTTGTATTATGAATGAAAAAATCTGCCAGCTGTTCAGCAAACGTGTAATCAATTGAAAACGTATCAATTTATAACTCGTTCACATGGTGGTTTCCAAGTCGTAAATTACTCTTATTCTACTTTATATTCCTATGAGGCATACAGTGTAGTTTCTGTGCAATTTAACAGTGGGTGTACCGAGCCGAGTGCAATCAAAATACACGAACACCATAAAACATTGTGCATTGAAACTCGTAATACACACATGGATCAATTACAAGAGACGTTAACAAAACAGACATTCCCAGACGACTCCATGGAATCTGGTAACAACAGTGACTGCCTGACTGTGTTAAGATATAATACTGCTATGGACGGCATTCAATGCATTACACGTTTCACTATTGTGAACAGCTTTATCAAAACGAAAATAAACCACGACGACCCCCTCCCCACTCGCATTGATTACAAAAGTGATTGTGATCGGCAGTCGTTATTTGCCAGTAAAGCCAAATACGAAGAATAAAACTTGTGTATTTATGGTAGTTTTTGCACGTCTCTTTGTATAGGCAAACCACCTACCATTGTGCATTGGTATGTTTAAATGGCAGCGGTCGTCTCGCCACGCATGCGCGAGATATGAGACTCGTGTGCGCAAAGATGGCGCCCTTGACTGTTGCGCAGAGAATACAAACTAAGACGTTAGTAATATTAACTATGTAATTTCTTTGGTGTTTGGAAAGTATCAGGAGTCACCAGTGGTAATTAATGCATGTTGCGCCCAGGTCAAAACTTCAACCAGAAGAGCACATTGGATTGTAGAAAAAAAAATCGATGTTTATCAACATAAATGTCGCACATGCGCAACGCGACGACCACCCACCCCTCTTTAGGTTACCAACTCATAGCATGTTGTACATCAAGTGCATACTTTGCTATTTATTGTATTACTAAACAAAATAAATGAAGTGCTTATCTTAATTCGAGAACTTCCTCGCTCACAAAACTGTAATGTTGGTGACTAGAAAATGTAATTGGTGGATAATAAACTACCATATTTCCGATACTGTTTTTAGACCCCCCTCCCCGAAATGCAATACGCCCTGCATTTGTTAGGTTATGTCTGTGACGTTCATGGCAGACAGTTAATAAGTTCTGAATTAATTTTTAATATGTCTCCAAAAAACAAAACAATTTTTTTCTAATTTTAGCTAAAGCTGTGGCACTCGGCAAACAATACAGGCCTTCTGACTGACTGTCCACTTTGTTTCTTGATCAGCACTAGCCAATGCAATATATTCTGCTTCAAAAAATGTACCATCTCTGGCTTTCATAATGACTCCATTCGGATAAAAGATTACTGATGATTAATCTCTTACTTGTAGCAGCCTGAACGGAAAAAATGTCCTGCTTGGTAGGATGGTACATATAGAGAATACTCTAAAATAACATCATGAACTCGACCATTTACATCATACAACACAAACTATATTAGTTGTACGGCTGCCATCAGCAACCTCTATCACATGACTATTTGTATCACAATTGTTATTAAAATTCTCAAATTTCTCATTATCTACAATACGTGTAGGTGCCCCCCCCACCACCCACCAACAAGCTGTGTTTAACTGCAGATTTTTTGTCATGACTGAGTGTAAACAAAATGAGTGTTCAGTTTCGTTATTGATGCTTTTGGCGGCATATTAAATCCATCCTGCACTCTTGTGTCACGTGGGCTGTGGACTTGCAGACGTCACATAAGATCTTCTTCATCGGCTTTCCCCAGCACTAACTTATGCCCAATCTTGCAATATCTGTAACACTTCACTTATGTGTTTGAAGAAGACTGATGCGCCCGCTATCATTTGTTCATCAAGTTTTCACATTGCTGCTGTATTTGCTGCTGCCTTTTCGTAGCTCTTTAATGCTATCATAGGCAATACAAAACACAATTTGGAATTGAAAACTATGTGGCATTGCCACAGTTGAAATTGCGCAGAGCAATAGCAAGATTAAGATGTGCACGCCATCCCTTAGAAATAGAAAGAGACAGACATAACCCTAGGGAGAGCCGTATTTATTATTTGTGCCTGCAAGAAATTGATGATGAATATCATTTTTTACTAAAATGCATTGCATGGCACACAATCAGGAAAAAGTATCTCCCAAATGAGACACCCTCCCCCGAATTTTGAATACTCTCGTACAATTATTAAGCTCCTCTAACAGCCAAAGCATTAGCCCATTATGCTCTATTTATAAGTGTTTTTAATCAAAGATCATTTCAGAATAACCTAATAAGTTTGTATGTATATAAATATTAATATCCCCATCACAATATTATATAATGATTATATTATCTATTGACACCCTCTTCATCTATATTTTCATACATATTTTGTAATATCAATTTATGTCTTGTCAATAATTATTCTGTATGATTGCAATGGGCCGGAGGCCATTATACAATTAATACAATTATTAATGCTATTTCGAATTTTGAAAATGTTCACTTCTCTTCTCCCCCCGATGTGTTACGGCAACGAAAGTTTTGAACTGAAGGGGATTCCCTTCAACATCATAGCGATTAAATGACTGTCACTGATTACCTTATTTACGTTGACATTAACCAATTACTGACACGGTTGTTAATATGATTAACCAATCACTGACACTTACGTTGACATTTTTAACCAATCACTGACACGTATTTTGACATTATTAACCAATCACGGACACTTATTTTGACATTATTAACTATCACGGACACTTATGTTGGCATTATTAACTAATCACGGACACTTACGTTAACATTATTAACTAATCACGGACACTTATGTTGACATTATTAACCAATCACTGACACGGTTGTTAATATGATTAACCAATCACTGACACTTACGTTGACATTTTTAACCAATCACTGACACGTATTTTGACATTATTAACCAATCACGGACACTTATTTTGACATTATTAACTATCACGGACACTTATGTTGGCATTATTAACTAATCACGGACACTTACGTTAACATTATTAACTAATCACGGACACTTATGTTGACATTATTAACCAATCACTGACACGGTTGTTAATATGATTAACCAATCACTGACACTTACGTTGACATTTTTAACCAATCACTGACACGTATTTTGGCATTATTAACCAACCACGGACACTTACGTTGACATTATTAACTAATCACGGGCACTTACGTTAACATTATTAACTAATCACAAACACTTATGTTGACACTATTAACCAATCACAGACACTTATATTGACATTACTAACTAATCACGGACACTATGTTGACATTATTAACCAATCACTGACACTTACGTTGACATTATTAACCAATCACGGACACTTATATTGACATTACTAACTAATCACGGACACTTATGTTGACATTATTAACCAATCACGGACACTATGTTGACATTATTAACTAATCACGGACACTTATGTTGACATTATTAACTAATCACGGACACTTATGTTGACATTATTAACCAATCACTGACACTTACGTGTTCCACATGTCAAGATTATATATATATATATATATATATATATATATATATATATATATATATATATATATATAATAATGATAAAATTAGACGTTCAATTACACTCGCCTAGGTTCGTACGAGGTCAATTACTAGACCGGAATATCAATTA